CTCTGTACGTACCTACTTAGCGGAGAAAGGCAATGAACAGGAACGACTGGAAAGAAGTTCATGAGAAGGCTAAAATCCACGCAGAGTTGTAAAGACAGAATGATGATAATGATTTTATTAATTATATCGTTAAATATTTCCAAAATTTCTAAATTTAATAATTTCTTTTCTGTTTTTAATATAATATCTTAACATAAAATTAAAACACAACACTGTTATATATTTAATTTGATACATTGCTCCTTATTATCATATTTCTTAGAAGAAAATAATTTTAAAATAACTATTTCTGTTTACAAAATATTTATATTTCAAACAATTTTATTTCAAATTTATAGTTCTTCACATGCTTTTAAAATTTTATTATATATACCAAATGTAGGTACCTACTCTACTTCCATTCAAGAGGGTATAAGCAGTATAAGTGCCCAACATCTGGCCAACAGACCTTTTTCGTTACCTTCCTTTCACTGACAAAGAATGTAGAATTTAGATGCAAATAACATTATTCTGAATTTCTCATAGTTATATAAGTATGTATATAAAATAAAAAAAGTATTAATTAAATGTATGTCGATTGTATTGACAAGTATGGATATTAAATTTGTGTGCAAAAATGCAATTATTAAATCTGAGTAACTTATTTTGCCATACAGATTTATAATTGCAATATTTACATTTTTCATTAATTTGAGGTATTAGGCGAAACGTGTTATTTATTCGTATATCTAATATAGACTATACAGACCATTATTTTTAATTATGAGGTCTGTAAGATGTAATTTGAGGTTTATCGTTGTAATTGTATTATATTTAAATTCTTTAAATAAACTTCTGTTGATCGAGACTGGCTGAATGACAATTGTCCAATCTTCAAAAAAAATTATTTTTTGAAACTTTTAATTTAATTTTTAAATGAACCTTTGTCAAAATATACTGAGTAATTATAGTACAATTACATCAAATATTGTTCGGACAACGCAATTAGAAAAATAAAAAGTTTATTTTTATTTTTTACTACTTAAAAATTATAACTTTATCTAGACGTCATCTGTGGGTTCGACATTCCGGAAATTCGACTCTTCTAGATTTAACAGAGAATCAAGTTGGTCAAAAATTTCTTTGCAGCTATCATTTTACTGATAGCAATATAAAATCAATAAACCAAAACGGTAAGAATATATTAAAACCTACAGCTATTCTTAAAAATGAGGTAACCTCTGCTATATTCGAAGCTTTGCAAAATAGAACTGATAATTCTTATTCAACAATTAACAATAAATATTTATTCAGTAATGACTCTTAATTAAATCTCAAAATTCCTATATCACTTAAAAGTGAACCATACCGTCAAAATCTAAATGATGCACACATGTCTTCGTCGTTGGATTTTTCAAATTGTGACCAAAATTTTTCTTCATTTTCTAATAACTACCCTAACTTAAGCGATAATTGTATTCAGAAAAATTCAGTCCAAATCCAATTAAATAAAAAAAATGAAGAAGTTAAAAATGCACAAGATGCATTAAAACGATTAAAAACTACATCAGAGTTAAAAATAAATAAAATTGTAAACAAATATGAGGCAAAAAGTAAATCTAAAAACAAAGTGATTAATAGATATAAAAACCAAGTATATATGTTATATACAACTTAACTCGTAAATGAAATAAACGTACAAAAGCTTCAAACGAAGCAATAAAGTTTAAAAAATTATTTAATAAACTTGATGACGAAATAAAAGTATTTTTAGTTAGGCAAATTAACCATATTCAGAAAAGTAAATGGACTGAAAAAGATAAACAGTATGCTATATCTTTATTTTATAGATCTCCAAAAGCGTATTGCTACCTTCGAGAGAAAAAAAACATTTTAAGTTTCCATTGCGTAAGTAACATTAGAATTTGGATTAATAAGTTAGATTTAAAACCCGGTAAATGTAACACTTTGTTGACATTATTACAAATTAAATCGTCGCTAATGCACTCCAAAGAAAAGGAATGTGTTTTATCGTGGGATGAAATGAGCATAAAAAAGTGGCTAGATTATAATACTAAAAAAGATATCGTTGAGGGGTTCACATATTTGGGAGAACTAGGTCGCTCTCCAACAGAAGGTAATCACGTTTTAGTTTTCATGTTAAGAGGTAGACAAACTGATTGGAGGCAATCTATTAAGTACTATGTCGCCCATAACTGTGTACCTGGAAAAAAACTAAGCAATTTAATTCTAAATGATTTAGATTTCTCTGAAGAAGCCGGTTTTAAAGTTAAAAGTGTGGTTTGCGATATCGGCCGTAGCAGTCAAACTGCGATAAAAAATTTGGAATAACGCCAGAAAAACCATCCATTGAAAAATTTGGTCGAAATTTTTTTTTTAATTATGACCCTCCTCACGTAATTAGATGAAACTATAACGCTACTATATAGCAATTCCGAATTTAATTGATTTACAAAAATCATTCGATGAATTAAATGAAGTTATTGAAGAAAAAAATGATGGACAAATAAGCTTTAATAATAAACGTATTGATTCTGTAACTGATTTAGAGGTTTGCGCTTTTATGGATGCAGGGGATGAGATGTCAGAAAAACATGATGCAAATATTAAGAATACTATTTATTCTAATGATCCTTTAAACAAATCCTCACGGTTTTCAGATGCACAAGATTGTAATAGCGATAATGATGATTCGATAATATCTTATAAGGAAGTTGATGACTTTGTCGAAGATGAATTAGATAGTACTTCTAGCTTGAATGAAGTTTTTGATTGTAAATCATTTGATACAAATTTGACCATCAATGAGGAACTTTCAGAAACGAGTTTTAAATGTTTATCAATATTTGAAAGAGTATCAAATAATGCATCTTCGACTGGCTCAACTTCTCTTTATCTCAATTCACTCAAGTACCTTGCCGGATATTTTGCATACAAATGTCTAAAAAAACTAATTGTGAAAAGTGTGAAAATTATTTTGTTCATAAAAATGTTAATTTTATTTCAATGACAGATCTTTTATTATTTTTTAAAGCTTATAAAGTTTCTCAAAATACTAACAAACTTGGTAATCTTTGCGTACCTACAGAAGTAATACATATTTCACTTGATATTTTTGATGTTAAGTTTAAAAATGTTTGTTATTTGGAAATTGTCAGTAAGTTGATTTTAAATGGTATAAAAAAAATTAAATGAAATCAATCCATCATTTTTAATCATTGACGACTCTTGTAAATCACATCGACAACGGTTATTAGAATTTTTAGTTATCAATAGGTCATCAATAGGTAATGTAAAAAAGCAATTTCAATTTTAGAATAAAAATTTCTTAAATATTTGCTCCGTGCGTAACTCACGCGACACCTACCGCCTTCATCTGACAGTTTTGGACTCCCCAATTTTCAGGTTAAACATATGACATATGTTTGACATTGTTAAATACATGCGAAATTGACAATTATTAATAATTAGTTTTTTAATTATATTTTTTCAGTTTATGTACAAAATAAATGTAGTATTAAAACTGGGTTTCTCACAATTCATCATAATATATCTTTTCAACCCAAACGGAAAAGAAATGGAAAAATCTAGTACTGGAAAATTAAGTTTTTCACGTGAAAGACCATATAATTAAAAACAATAATAATAAAAGTTATGATATAAAAGCTAAAGTCATCAGGCAGTTAGCTTGAAGCCTTATGAAATATTATTTAAGGTAAATTATTAAAATTTTTCCTATTTCAATAGCATAAAAATGAAATTATGTGATATTTACTTTTTCATGCTAATAGCACAAATCCATCTTTTTCTTTTCTTTAATTTATATGTAATCTTTGGGAACCTATAAAAACTACACTCAATATTTTTGCTATTATTAGCACAATTAAATACGCAACATGTATTTGTACACATTTTTGATAAAATTTATGCGTAAAAAGATAGGTCCAATTAGGTCATATTTCGCCGCTAAGCACGCTGGCATCGTTTCAAGGTACCCCTACCATGGTCACGCACGGAGCGAATACATTCAGCTATAACAATTTTTAGATTATTTTCTTCAATACCTTATCTATTTGTTCAATTTTTTTTATGCTTTTATTTCACTGCTTTATATTTTAAGTTATACACAGAATGTCATTAATATTATAAATATTATTATTTTTCCTTTTAATAATATTACTAATACCTTTATTAGTTAATTATGTTTTAGTACTAGTTGTTATTTTAAAAGATTAAATAGTACCCATACAACGTAAAAACTTTCACATAGACTATTCATTAAAAGTTACTGTTAAATATTTCAAAAATAAATCAGGAATGCTTTTTGTTCTTATTAAAAAATTATGGATGAAATGGAAGTTTCGGCGAAATGGAAAATTTCATAATTTAGTAAAAAGTTTCATTGAATACTTTTTTGAACAGGACATTTGTTTAATGAAATAATTTGAAAAATTATCTAAAAAGTTTGACGAAAAGTCCTGAAAAAATTAAATTTTTGGTGGAAAAATTTTGAAATTTTTTACAAATGTTTCGTTAATTTTTGGGCAGAAAAACAGTATAATAAAAAGTTATGTGACGGTGTCTCGTAATGTAGGATATGTGTATGAATATTTTTAATTCAAAGTTATGAAATTAAAAAAATAAATACTTTGAATATTGTAAATATCATACATTTTTAAGTTTTAAAATTAAAAATTTAACAATTTAATATATTAAAATTAAAGATTTTATTGTGAAAAAACAAAAAAAAAGACAGTTTGCAAATCAATAGCATCGAAATTTGTTTAGGCGTAGATGCAAAGTTACATAAATAGCTCGGTTCGTACTCCTTTCCCACTTCCCCCTAACTACATATTTCATTAAGCCGACGGCCACGGCACCACGCTTTGGGTTTATGCAGCCACCCTCTTAAGGAGTGTTTTGACGTATAAACCGTAACCAAATGGCCCATTTGAACTGCTCTTCTATGTTATATTATATTGTTTTGAAATGTAAACAAGATGGAGGTAAAGAAAGAACCGTTTGATACTTTTTCTGACGACAAGACTAATATTCACCAAGATTCTTTCAATATGATTCTAAATAACATTAAAGAGGAAACACCGGATTATCCATTCGAAATGGAAACAATTCCACCTGCATATTTCTTAACAAAAATACAAAGCAAGCCGAATATAGATTCTACAGCTCAAAATATTCCAAATGAAATTGAAAAAGTTAAAGCTGATGAGTACTTTGTTAGTACAACTGATTTAGCAAATATACAAATGGACATGGCCGAAGTTGATACTAAAGTTAAAACTGAACCATTAAATCAAGACATTGATTCACCAAACCTAAATGAAGAATGTGATTTACCTACAATAAAAGTTGAAGTTACTAATTTTGAATATTTAGATGAAATAGAACCTTCGAATTGTGAGACTAAGCAAAGGTCTCTATCAAAATTTGTTAAAAGCCCAGGTACCGTTTTTAAGAAGAAGAAATTTCCATGCCCAATTTGTCAGAAAAGTAAGTTTTCAAAAATTGTATAAATATGTATTTTATAATTTTTGATTTAATTATGGTTTAAATAGAGAAATATGTGTTACTCATATTCAATTTTATCTATGTATTCCTCACAAACCTTGAAGATGCTTACTAGGGATGAGTTTGCTTTTAATCACTTGAAAACAAATCTTTCAACTAGACATAAATCATATACTTCTTTACACATAAACTAATAAGCTGGAGATCCTTCTACTTATTTTATAAGTATAGTGCATAGATACCTATATGTCAAATTATTTACAACTATAATAATTATAGAAATCTATATTTTTATGCATTGTCTTGAAACAAATAATTTAACTTTACCTTTAATAATTTCATTTTTAAAATTAAATAAGTCTAGTAACCACTTTAATTTCAGTTTTAACATTAAATATAAGTTTAGTAACCACTTTTGACTGATTTTTTTCAACACTACTTTTTTTGCAGGTTTTTTGGTACCATCCAGAAGAAAGAGTCATTTAATGTCTCATTTTGGAAAGAATCGTTATGTTATTTGTCATTTTTGTGGTAAAATATTTAAAACACTGGTTCAATATATAATGCACCACAGAAATTATAAAGTTAAGGGACGACCCAATTTAACCACATTAAATGAATCAATTTTTTCTTGTAAAATTTGTCCTTTACAATTTGATTCCAAAAGAAATTTGGCAGATCATTTTAAAATACATTACAGTAAGCCTTATGAATGCAAGCTCTGCTTTAAGCAGTATAGTGTTAAATCTACATTGAAAAGGCATCTAGCAGCACTGCATAGTCTATTAAAACCATTTAAGTGTGAAATTTGTTTTAGAGAATTTGCTTTATCTTGTCAGTATAAGTCTCACATGGTGTATCATACTTTTGGTAAACAATTCACATGTGATATCTGCTCCAAAGGATTTTATCAAAAGAGTAGTCTATTGAGACATAGAATAGTACACGAAGGAATCAAGTTTAAATGTCACCTTTGTTCAAAGGAATATACTAGAAAAGTAACACTAGAATCCCATATGAGGTTGCACTCTGGAGAACATGAATTTAAGTGTCACATTTGTATAATAGAAAAAAAATTTACATCTAAAGGTGCCTTAAGACTACACCTTATGAATCATGCAGGGGAGAAGCCTCACAAATGTGATATTTGTGGACAGAGATTTTTAGAAAGACAGAAATTACTGAAACATCTAAAAACACATGAGAAAGCTCAAAACAACTGTGAATTTTGCAGTGCATCATTCCTATACAAAATCAGACTTCAAAGACATCTGTTAACTGAGCATGGTGAAAATCCATTCAAATGTATCAAATGTGAAGAGAAATTTGTTACACAAAGAGAACTGAATTTACACATGTCTGTACATGTTGAATTGAAAATCTATGAGTGTGAACTCTGTGCAAAAAGGTTTACCAAAAGGGCAGCGTATGTTAGACATCTAGGAGGCCATGGACAAAGTCCATTTGGATGTGGTATCTGTACTGAAACATTTTCATCTGAAAGGGGACTGCGTGAGCATTATACAGTCCATCCAGGAGAGAAGCCCTTTCATTGTGATGTGTGTTTAAAAGGTTTTCATCACAAAAGATCTTTACATAAGCATATTTGTGAGGGAAAACCTGTAGGTACTTAGAAGTTGATTTGATATTAAAATCAATTTGGGTTCTCAAACTTCTGTTTGAGATGGTATATTTAAGTTAAGATGTGCTGTATTACTCCTTTGCAAATGAACTTCTGATAATAGAGTAGGCTATAAATAATTGGCATCTATAAGATACCAATCACCACAGAATGTTATACACCTGATAACATATTGTGGTGTGTGGAGATCTACTGCGGTTTTTGTTTTTATTTATTTGCTAAATATGTTTATTTATTTATAGTTGCTTTATTAACTATTGTACAAACTTTATACTTGGTAAGACTAAAGAGTATATCTTAAATATTACAATTATGTAAAAATCTTGCTAAATATATTTCTTCAAACATGTATTGAACTACACTAATTAAACAATTTTTGTCGTCATTTTCCGCATAAATTTTTAACATCTCTTTTTGTCCTAGGAATATAAAGATAAAATAAATTAAACAATCTCCTATAATAATTGAATAAAAAAATTACAGGGACAAATATAATATCATCAATGATTAAACTATGTATATGGAATTATGCTGAAATAATTAGTGCAAAGAAAAATGATAGATCAGTGAAGACCAGGCAGGTATATCATGATGTGTAATCACATTTACACATTATTACAATTGTTAGAGAAGAAAAAGTGAAAAAAAGGGATATAAATGTGGTATTTGTGGATCAAAATGACTCGATACTGAATCTTCTGAAACTTTTTTAAGCACAAAAAATCTGAACAAAGAAAAGAAGTGTTGATTTAGATACTAACATACCATGTAATTTCCTCTTTTATCTCCCCACTGGGTATATTGTTACTGATGATATTTTTGAGGTAGATGTCACAGTACGACCCATTTGTAACCTTTTTCTATATCATCCAGATCTCATATATATATATATATATATATATATATATATATATATATATATATATATATGTACTATATTAAGTAAATTAAACCTCACATCATCATATGGTAGGAAAGTTTTGATTATATTATATTTTAATTTAATTTTTATATTAATTTTTAATTTATATTATATTTTGATTTTAATATAATCAAAACTTTCCTACCATATGATGATGTGAGGTTTAATTTACTTCTTAACAAATTTTTTCCATTCTTTGCGGTTTCATGTCAACCTTTTTGTGTCTGTCCATGTCACTCCTCTTTCTTCAATCCCGATTACGTCATCCCATGTCTGTCTTCGTCTTCCACTTTTTTGTTTTTCAATATTTTAGATTTCCACCCTCTTCTCACTGTACAGCATCCTTCATCCAGTGTAAATGACCTCACCAACTCAGCTGTCTCCCTTCTATAAACTTCAATATGGATTGTATTTTCAGTTCGTTCCTTATATCTGTATTCCTTATTCTATCCATTTGATGCCTTTGACTCTTCTTAAAAACTACCATCTCTATAGCCTGTAACTTGCTCTTTTGCTATTCTGTTAGTACCCATGATCGCTGCTAAAAGTCAGGACAGGTCTATACACTGATTTGAAAACTTTTATTTTTGTATTTAGATTTATGTATATTTACTGTGATACTTTTCTGCTTATAATTTTTTTATTCACTGTATGATACAGTTGTAGCACTACTTTACTCTAGTATTTCTCCTAAGTATGTAAAATTTTAACTTGTTCTAATTTTGTTCCTTCAATGTCTATATTAAGTTCTCTTGTTTCTCCTATCTGCATAACTTTTGTTTTGTTAATAATTATCTTCTTTTCATTTTCAGTGAGTACTTTGTTCCATATTTACAAGTGAGTCTAAAGTTCTTTTTCAGTTTTTTACTTCTTGTTCTTCTTTAAGTGCCATCTTCGTGACAAAGGTTGGCAATTATCATGGCTATTCTGACCTTCGAGGCAGCTGCTCTGAACAATTGCCTTGAACTGCTACCTAACCACTCTTTCAGGTTCTTCACCCAGGAAACGCGTCTTCTTCCTACGCTTCTCCACCCTCTATTTTTCCTTGACTTATAAGTCTCAAGATGTTGAATCTTTCACCTCTCATTACATGTCCGAGATATTGCAATTTCCTTTCTTTTATTGTATTTTCCATTTCCCTCTCTCTGCCTATTCTCCTTAACACTTCTGTATTCGTGATTGCTCATGTATTAATCAGTTCATCCATAAATAGGGTAAAAGCACCAGTTATTGGCCTCTTAAGGAGAGCACATCGATATATCTATGAAATCTTTCCTCACTATAACTATTTTTAACACCATGGAATTTTATTATTATTTCTAGATATTGCAAAATTTTATTACGTTAATATTTCAGGTATGAAAATATTTTATATGTGTTCTTTTGTTAACGTGCAAATGAACCAGTTATTGGCCACCCTGTTCCACTTATTGACACCATATGTGTTAGTGATTGGCCATCATTTTTTAAAGAGACATTTTACCAAATAATTCGTAAGTTAAAATAGATAGGTAGGTGTTTTGGTAAGCAAGGATTTTGTAACGAGTGTAGACATAACAAAGCATGTCAAAGTAAACTTTTATTTTTTATTTTGGCAAGATTCGCAAACATATACTTGATCTGTGTCGCCGTAGAATCTTGTTATGCAAGTTAAATGATATGTTTTAAGACACATTTGGCATCTAATGCCTTCTTTACACTCTGTACCTAATATTTAGTACTCATAGATAACACACACCTTTAGAAACTTTTTGATTTTTAAAATGTGATGAAATGTTTGATAACATATTTTTTATTTTTAAAACGCGGAAGAAAGTTCGATACCAAGTTTCGATTTTTAAAGTGTGAAGGAATATTTGATAGTAAATTATCAGACAGAATTGTCTGATGATTTCCAATCTCCGATAGGAGTGGCACAAAAAGAAGAAAAAGACAGAATTGTAATTTTTGTTGAGAACTGATCTGTATTATCATCAAATAATTTCCGTTTGGATACAATTTTTTTCTCAGGGCTTGGAGATTTAGTATGGACGAGAAATATTTTCGGAGATAATCTCAAATTCGCTTCTGGTGTAGGTGAATGCTTGAAAATGTCAATATTATCTTCGTTATTTACAGAGCTTGATGATTTTGTGTGAGAATGAGATTCTGGTGTAGGAACTTTAACAAATTCAGGTAGTGGTGGCTCAAAAACCTCAATATTGTTACTTCTACTTTTCTGGTTTAGAGGAGAAAACACCTTTAATGCTTTTTTTATCTTCTTTTGATATTTTTATTAGGAATGTGAACTTTTAAACCTTTTTTTAATTTTGTTGGGGTCATTTCGATGGGTTGTCTACTTTTCTCTTCAGACTTAAAAGTTTTAGATTCTCATCCAGATTATCTTCAACTTCATATTTTTTCCCAAGACATTTTGAATAGTCAAGAGCAGAAGAATTCCAAGAAAACATACCGCATGCCCTAAACCCACTTCTTATAATATCTGGATTTAACCTATCTATAGCAGATTTTAAAACAAGGGCAAACTGTACTTTCTTTAACACTTTTTGGGGGTTGTCTCTATTAAAATGAAGCATAGCTTTGTCCCAAAATGTTTTTAGAGGCTTAAATGCAGCCTGTACAAATCTGTACAAAGTTGACTTGTCTGTACAATTAAATGGGTTTTATGTCCATCAACAAAAAGTATCACCGGACGTGTAATATTATTTCGATCTAAATAAGGGTTAATTATTTATTCATAAAAGATTTTGTTGTCCATCCAACCATTTACAGTTAAACCAATACCCCACGAATTCGGTACAGCACTTAGTATATCATTTGGCAATCTTTTATGGGGATAAATTATTATAGGAGGTAAAATATTGCCTATTGCAGAAAATGTGAACATAAGTGTTAACCTTTGGTTTATATTTAATTTCATAGACGTTTCTGGAACCCTTCATAGCCAAAACCTTTTCATTTTTGGGACATAAATAAAAACATGTCTCGTCACCATTGAAGATTCTTGTTGGGTCTTGAAGAACGTCTGAAAAACCTTTTTTATCTAGATAAGATTTTATGTTGTCAAACCATTTGGTAATATCTCTTTGGTTAATGTTTGAACTTGCTGATGTCACTCCCTCTGAAGTTCTTAACGAAATGTTGGGATTGCGCTTTAGAAATGCTGATAGCCATGTTCTACCTGGTCTATTTTCAACAAATAAATTAACTCTAGGGGTTACTCTCTAAAAATGATTTAACGGAGTTCTTAATGTCGTCAATACGAACAGGAAATCCTCTATTTTGACAATAAAAAATCCAGAGTTTCAGTTGTTCCTCTTCATCCTTTGAAAGAAATGGATCTGGTCCATGCGTTGTCTTGTAATGAAATTTTCCACTTTTCCGGTAACTTATGGTGGCTCTGGGAATATTAAAAATTTTTGAGGTTTCTCGCTCACTCATACCATTTTTAATTAGCTTTAACGCTTTTTAAACATCGTCTTCGGAATATTATTTTTTAAAATTGTTTTCAGTTTTAGAACGTTTTGGCATATTTTCTAAATCAATTTATAATAATTAGTTATTGGCCACATATAAAACACTAGTTATTAACATATGTCAATCACTAGATTCTTACAAAATCTAATGTTTCAGTTATTGGCCATCTAGGCCAATTACTGAAACATTGATAATTTTATGCATTAGTACTTGGCCACTTTAAAATTTACGTTATTTGTATAAATAACGTTATATTCGTTATGCAGTTTGGAACAGGACATATACTATATTCTCACAAAAACAAAATATAAAGTAGAAAGTAAATTGCAGTATATAGTACTTACCGACCAACACAAGTTTCTGTAGGTAAATAACAAAATTTCGGTTGCAAACTAGCGGCACAGAACAGTGTCTCATTCAACATAGAATACCGACTAAAATGAAATAGTTACCTTGAAACTAGATATGTCATACTCTAGAAGACATGTGGCCAAACTTAAAAAAAGTAGTTAGAATTAACAAAATACCAACGTTTTCCTAATTCTAATCAAAACATATTAGTAGGCCAATAACTAGCACATGGCCAACAACTG